CATTTGTATCTCACTGTAGAATTTAAATACTGACTTCTCTCTTGTGCCTAACTCTGAAAGTGAAATTTATGTAATATTACAGCATATAGATGAAAACATCCTACCTCCCTGTTTTATTGTCATGGCAAGCCTGCTTGAACAGTTTCCTTTGGTAATAAATGGGCAGAACGCGTTGTCCCCTGGACATTTAAGGCCTTTTTATTACAGGTTGCTTTCTATTTTACACACCACATTATAATTTCTTTCAGAGAATTTCTTTAGAATTATAGTTTTGCTGTGACATTGATTGATGCATGTTTACTTGGGCACTTGAGTTTACTTCCTTCTAAATGTATATGTGTAATACATAGGTTTTGTGTGTGAGATGTTTCTTCTGGAGATAATATTAGCAACACAATAATTGGGAACTGTGAGAAAATGCAGTTGTACTATGGGAAATAAAATATCATTTGGTGTTCTCTTCTGTGAAGGAAATTTATGGAGTTCTGTGGAAAAGGGCAGTTTATTTTGATATTTTTTGGAAAAGACAAGGTTAAAAAAATCAAAATTTGTTAGTAATCGCAAGCACCTAGACCATTTGTTAATCAAAATTATTCCCATACAGAGAATTTTAAAGTCTCGTCTAGTCTGTTTTAAGCAACACTTGAGCTGTGAGATTCCCAGGTACTGTCTTTGTCAGACCATCTATGTCTTCATGACCCCTGGTTCAAACATGGGCTCTTTTATTAAGTAGCTAGCCTTTAAAGTCAGCTGCTGACCACAGGTCCTGCAGAATTGCCGTTTTGCTTTTAAGAGTGTCACCTATGATAATACCAGTATATTGAGTAATGCGGGAGTGGCTTTAATGAGTTGTTCAACATGAAAGATGTGTTTTTACTACTTATACAAATAGTAGAAAATACGACAGTTTTCTTTAAAACTACTACTGTTCTACTGTCTCTGGCTGTTACTCTGTGTTTGTTTGTGCTTTTAGAGATTGGTAAGATTTGAAACACATAGTGCCACAAGACATTGCAGGGTAAAATACAATATGGGAGTACTTTCATATTGATTTAAGTTAAAAAAAATCATTACTTATGGATCCAAAAGGGATTTTTTCCTCCACTTTAAGATATTTTCATTATCACAACCATATTGGAGTTTGTTGTTGAACTTAAATACTTCATGATGTTTTTGTAGTTATTGAGAATTTTTCCCAAATAAATTCCCAAACTCCCTTCTTGGCCAAATCTCAAAACTAAAGATATGGTAGGTATTGTTACTAGCATCTGTTTGACTATGTTATGACTTATTGTTAGGATATTATTAACATGTAGCTGTTTTAACGAATCTAGATACCTTATGTATCTCTAGTAATCCATATACTTTGATTCATACATAGACCTGATCTTTTAATGTCACTTGTCTAACTGAGCTCTATAAAAATTAACACTTATTACTTTTGTTTCTTCCTGATTACTTCCAGATATGTTTAAATGAGGATGCATTTAGAATTCTGTGTGAACAAGACATGCAATTTTGTTTGTATACTTCTTCTTTTTTGTGAGTTGTTCTTTGAGCGACAAGGAGAAAATAATAAAATTATTCAATCGTGGGACTAATTGAGTAGATGAAAGCAATTTTGGGATATGTGATTCCAGCATCAAAAGATGTGCTGGATGTTTTAATGCAGTTCTTCACAAATCAGATGACATGCTGTCTGAAATGTGCGAAGAGCTGTCTGAGAGAGAGGAAGGAAGGTGGTATAGAGAACTTTTGTTTGTTCCACAGAATTTCACATATTATTCTCGCTAAAAAAATTTAAAATATTGAAAATTTGAGAGACCTCTTTTCCTGAGTTCTCAAGGAACCTGAAGCAATGAAAGGTTAGTATGAACTACCATTGATGTCATGGAGTTCAAGCTCCAATACAACTGATGACAATCAAATTATATTATTCAGCTCTTTTGTTATGTAGCAATTGATATACGAACAGAAAAGAATGTATTGTAATATGATAGTTTACATCATCTCTCCCTGAAGTGTTTTCCTGAAGAGGTAGGGACTCAGCTTTCAGAATTTGTTCCTGCAAGATGCAAAAGGAATGAAATTTAGTCCTTTGTACAAGACTGAATTTTGCTGAATTTATGTGGCCCAAGACAAGTGATAACAATCAGAATGCGTGAAAATAGCGCATTTGTATTAGTTCATTTAAACATCGGTGGTGACCATATTCAAACTGTCTATTGCAACGGCCTTACCTTAGCCATTGTGAGACCTATACTAGTGAAGGTCCAATTCAGGTATGCCATGAATTTCAATACAGGTAACAGAGAGCCTACCAACACCATGAACAATTTAGGTTGTCCAAGTAAGGCTCCTGCTTCCCTCCATCAGAGAGTTTAGGTGCTTCTTTGGTAGCTGCCTTCACGTACAAAGAGGGAAACGACCTAGAACCAGCTCACAGGCAATAGTAAAGCAATCGCATCTGATACATACCAAATTCAGAGCTATATAGTAGGATCCTCTGATCAGCTGGAGTCTCATCAGTGAACCCATCTCTGAGGGTAGGCAGGTGAAGATGGATGGAGGATTTGCACTGTAGCCAAGGTGTTAAGTGCTTGCTCCCATAGTCGGAGAGCTGTGTTCAGGCTGAGTAACCCCAAACTTTTTATTAGTTGATTGTACAATGTGCAGCAATGTGGTCTTGCTCTTGGTGCAGGGTTCCTATACATTATACAGTGCAAACAAACTTAAGACTTGTGGGTGGAAGAGGTCAGAGGAGAAGGGTTCAATGACCTTAGAGAACTACAGGAAATTTCCAGTGTCTGAGGACTAACAGAAGCCACGGTACCTAACAGATTAGGTTTGATTTACTTTGAAAATATGTAATATCCTGTCACTTTGAAACTGTTTCATTTTTCATGGCTATGAGATGATACAATTTACAACATAGAAAAAATCCAGACTGACAGCCCTAACAGACTTTCTTGTATTACCTGCAAGGTCTCTGTATCTTTGTTTTTAAGCTCTATTTCCCTTCTTCTGTATTCCTGCACTATGGGAATAGCCTCAACGGAGCTCATAAAAACAGGAAAACAGTTCAATAAATATACACTTTAGACAGTCTTGCACGTGGGCACAAAATTATCTAAGACTTGATTTAACCTCAGTTCAGTCATGATACTGAATTGTAGCTGGTACCTTAAATGAGTCAGAGTGGCACACAACCCTTGTCCTGTGAATATGGCTGGTCATAAAAAGACCACCATTCAAAGACACAGTACATCTCTTGTCATTGTGACTGTTGGGGGATTGTGTTGGATTTTTTATTGAGTACATAAGTAGCAAAATGGGATAAAAAAGGGATACCTCTTTTTCTCTTATTTCAGAATTTAAACGTGTATTCTACAATCAACCAGAGAGTAGAAGACAAAAACATTCGATGTTTATCTGAATGTCATTCTTTCTTTTTTTTTTTTGTGTCTCAGACTTGGCCTTCCTCACTTCATCTAATACTTTTCCCAGGCAGTATTATGAACACAAACCACTCTCTTGACTCAGCAGGTATCCAAAGTGTTGAGTTTCTCCTCCAGAAAAACCCAACCTGTTCTGTAATCCTTACAGGCTGATGTTCCCAGGTCTCAGGCTGCTCCCTCTTCTGTGTCAGCATACATCAGGATACCTCAGTACAGAGAAGCATCCCATGCAGTACTCTCCCACTAAATACATACAACTACGCACCAGTATTTCGACTCCTTCCCAATCTGCAGGTAGATTTGGAAAGTCTTGTGTGTTGGTCAGCTAGGAAGAAAAGCAGCAGAGACAAGAAGGAGCATGTGCAGGGAGCTCAGTTTCAGCAGAGCTTGATTTTGTTTTAACAGAAGATCCTGTATTCTCTACACTGCGACTTGTTTGCTTGTTGCCTTTAATCTATGTGTCAGCATTATATGCTCCAGGGTACTGCTGAATGGTAGACCTTTTGGGTAGTCTGTAGCAAACTTCTTGCAATCTGTAATGATGTAAGGTCTGGATCGAGGCCTGTACTGACCATACAAGTCCAAAGAATTAGTAACTGATACAAGAAGAAATTATAACGTGGCAAACCCATTTCAGTGAGACTTAGCTTGCAACCCCTAGCATCACTAAATGTGGCTTATCACCAATTTTAATTGTTGGAGACTAAGCTTTCCTCTCCCTCTTTCCCTGCCAAATGAAATTACCAGATTTTTCCAAAGTAATGAGTCTCACAAGGTGAGGTGTTATATCAAAGACAAAGGATCAGGATTTCTGTTGTAAATGTATTTAGGAAGAGGCAAAACTGCAGGGTGTTTTTTGTTGTTAGGTCTTTTTTTATGATTCTTAGTGTGTGTTTCTAGTCAGAAGAAAAAATGTTCCCAAAGATGCTGTTTTGTGATACAAACCAAGCCAGGTTATGCAGGTAAGAGAACCTATCAACTACTCTACATTTGCAGCTTAATTTTATTAGGAAGTCAGCTGTCCGTTTGCTTCACACTGGTACCAACTATTAAGATCTTCCTTCATGTCTGTTTCCCTTCTCATTACAAAAACAATCTAATCATGCTAGTTTAACACTTACTTTTTAAAAATTTCGTTCCTTGCATAGTTCTTCATAATCAGTTGATATAGGAAACCCACTTGGAAAGCACACTGTTTATAAAACAGCATGCCAGAGTGTTTATCTGGCCTTGGGCTGCGGGAACCAGAGGATGGATGAATATCCTGCAGTTGTTTTGGCCATGATTATATCGTGGATGGCAGGTTGCCAGTAGCAACTGCAGTAAAAGGTCCAGAGTGTCAGTGTCTTCCTCTGTGTGATAAAACAGAGAACATTTGCACTTTCCGAACTGTCTCAGGGAGGATTTGTGGCAGATTTTGGAGGACTCGAAGTGATAAAAGATGGAAGTAGATAAGCTGCTTGCAGGTTGCATGCCAACCTGTCCTTCTGTTGGCTCCTCCAGGCCTGGCACCACTGACGCTTTTTTTGCCCTTCTTTCTAGAACATTTAAAAGAGAAGCTGGAGGAATACATGGTCCGTTTTGCCAAAGTGAGGATTGTACGTACCAAGAAACGAGAAGGGCTCATTCGGACCAGACTGCTAGGAGCCTCGCTGGCTAGAGGAGAAGTCTTGACATTTCTGGATTCCCATTGCGAAGTCAACGTGAATTGGCTGCCTCCCTTGCTTAGTAAGTGTATGAGCATTCATCAGCCATTAAAATGAAAGCGTGCAGCATAGCTCAAGCAATCGGAGCCGTGTCCCTCAATAAGTAGGACATACACTGTATAGAAGTATTTGGAGCTCTGCTGCAGTGTCTGAAAAGTCAGTATGAGAGAGAACTCAGAAATGTGGGCAGCTCCATTTTATGGTTCTTGTGACTAAAGAACTGGTAAAATTTTAAAGTATCACTTTGGCCTATTAGAGTTACAATTTATTTTATTATTACTACTGCTGAATACACTTCTAAATCTAGTATTATGCTATGCCCTTACTATACACCTGAAAACTTTTGTTATGCAGGTATTGTACTCTTTCCTAGTCCTCCACATTCCATTAAAACAGCTTTTGCTGTAAATGTATCCAAGACCTCAGAGTTAAATCCAGTAACAACTGCATTCACAATAGGAAGCTGAGAAAGAATGATTTGCTATTGACTGCTTTGCTGGATTCCAGCTGCAGCTGGCAAAGTTCCATTAGTCAAAGAAATGGAAAGAATCAATTGTTGTAGTCTAGGATTTCACTTCAGAAAACAATGTCCCCTTTTCTACACACCTGACTACATGCAAAGCGTATGTGGTATGCAAAGTGAGTGCTTTTTTGCTAGAAAAAAAAAAGAAAATTTCTGAGTTTACTATTAAAGAAATTTGTATTAATTAAAAGAGTGTGTAGGAAGTACATGACAGGATAGGGGTTTACCAATTAATGGTTATTGTTTCTTGAATTTTGTTGCTAGAACTGTTTGGCCACACAATCAGCTGATAAAGCATTTGCGGCCAAGAAGAGATGCTGTTCTGCTAATAAACTGTCACTTGAGACAAAAAAAATACTAGTAACTAGTTTTTCTCCAGATCAGTAACAAGATAATGTACAAAATTCCAAATTTATGTCCTTTCTAGCTTCTATATGAAATTACACATACAGTCTTTTCCCTAGTTACCACTTTGCCCTTAATCACAGCATCAGCATTTTTAAAAATAACCTTTGTATCTTCATGTAAAGCCCAAATGGCATAAAGGAGCAGAGGGAAATACAAGTTTCAACAAGCCTTCCACAAGCAGCTTCAACAAGTACCCATTAAGAACTCTGGAGTACTCTACATATATAGCCACCTTTCCTCTGTTTTCTGATTTTGCCCCACTGCACATAATACATTGCCACTAATGAAAAAATATCTCAAGAAGATTGTCACTTGTCCTCTGAAATCTTTTGCTAAGTTGCTGCAGATGAGACATGGCCCTTCTATTTTGCTAACTTAGACATGGGAAATTTGCAAGTTGCAAAAATGGTTCCTTTTCTTGCTTTCTTGTCTGAAATGAAGGTACATCTGGCTAGGTTTCACCGTATAAAAACTGAAAAATAAACAGAATGGTCACAGAGGATTCATAATTGCACTTAGGTTGAGGTTGGGTATTGAACTGATGATCACAACCCTCAACCTCAAGCCAGAAAACTGGGAAGATGAGAGAAGCTTCATCAGGGACCAAGTCCCAGTTCTCCTTAGTTCTTAAGTGGAATAAAATCTTTTTCATTCCACATAAAGTAGAAATATGTATAGCTAACTAGCCAGAGGATCTAGAAATTAATCTTGAGGAATACTGGAGCGCAGAATCAATAGGCTTTATTTTGAAAGAGAAAGTAGAGCATTGCCTGAAAAAGGACAAATACAGAATGAACACATAGCTAGTATACTTAAGGATGCCCTGTGCCCTGTTTTCCTAAAGGGATGAGAGAACTTTCTCATAACCATTAGGTGGCAAATACTTACTATACTGAAATCAGATGACACCTGGCTACTAATAATAGTAAAGTTAATGTATTTTTGCAAGTGATTATCTAAAGATCTATCTTGTGATTCACTCAGCACTGCATGTGACTGAATGTCATTCAAGGAAACCATGACAGAGGATATACTGGGTATTTACTGCTTTGAAGCTGCTCTATTTTAGTTCTGATCGTATCTGCCATGTGTAGTGAAAAGTCATTCAGCCCTGCTCTGGAGTGAAGACCGCCAGTCTTTGCTGAGAGGGGCAGCGGTTTCCACTGTTCTAAACCAGGTTTTGTTCAAAATGAGACCTTGAAAGTTAGAGGACAGGGAGGTGGTGAGGAAACCAAGAGCAATCACATAAAGACAGTTCTCAAAGTTATTTATGTATCTAACTTCTGTTTTCAGAGTTGACTATCAGTTTTTAGACCAAAGGAAGACTGAGTTATTTCAGTACTTGTTAGGTATCTAAATAGCTTTGAGGAGCTGAGCTGCAGTTGTTTTCAGTTACAGTCCTTTGTTTTGCTTTCTTAAAAACAGGTGCAAAATGGCTTTTCTTTATTTTCTTTAAGCTTTATTTAGTTTATTTCTTTAGCTTAAATGGGTTTCTAAACTGAGATAAGCCACCCTGAGATCTCAGAGAGTTTTGCCTGATGTTCACAGAGCAGGCAGCTGTAGCGATGTAAAAATGTTGGCAAACACAGCTGTTTGTTATCACTCCTCAGTAGTATAAAGTCAGCAGAAGGAAAGATGTGACTTGGGCTCCAGCTGCTGTAGTTGAGAGTCTAGTGTAGTGTGAAGTCGTGGTTATTGCAGGTAAGAAACTGAGTGGCAAACCAGCTGAAAAATGCAGGCACATCTTTCCTTCTGCTGATGTTGCTGTGGGAGCAGTAAGAGGGGAGGTGGACAATAGTTCAGTAGTGCCATAGGCTACTGGAACTAGGTTTGTCAAAACAGATTTTTTTCCTGACCAAGACTGAAAACTATACCATGATTAGATCATGCTTAGCAAGTTATCAAGACACCTGCTGGCTGTAGCTGTTCACCTCCACAACATTTGTATGATGCATTACTTGCCAGTGGGGAGACAGAGAGTACAAGTACTTATGACAACTCAGATAACAAGAGATAATTTGCTGAGCCGCTCAAATGTTGTCACCATCTGTAATCACATATTTAAGTAGGAAAATAAGAGTATTTGCAATGTGGCATTGTTACTTTAACCAGGCCAAATTGAAACAAGCACTTGAAATTAAAGGGGTGCATCTTTCTCATAAAGATAAAAGCTACATTTTTGAGATAGTGACTTATGCAGTATTGCAAACTTATGTTTATTGCCACATACGCACACTCTGCTTGATACTAAAAGTGCTGAATTCAAATATGTATGTATATATTGCTTAAAATTGCTAGGGAGAAAGCTCTAATAAGTTCCCTTTTGTTCCCTCAAATCTGCAAGATTTTTACATGTAGGATGATGTTTATGTGTCTGTTCTTCCCTTTATCTGCAGCATATATGCATTGAAATAATGCATGGAAATTTTCAGACCAGTAGGAATTTGAGACGATGATGAGTAAAGGTGATGGCAAGGAAATTGTAAAGCACTTCAGCTGTGGCTTTCAGTGTCTTGCATTAGGAGCAGGTGGGGTAAAGAGAAATGGCTGGCAAAGGTAGCAGCATGTTCACATCTGTAAAGCTATGATACTACCACTCTTGCGAAATGTAAGCTAGCCTTACAGCCCTTTTTTCTGTTTCCCAAATTGATATTGAGGCTACGTTTAAGCCTAAGAAGTATGTATGTAGAATTCATTATTTTAGGCATACTGAAAGAAACATTGAGGCTGCAAGTTTGATTACTCTGCCTTTTGGTGTGCACAACTACAAACACCCTGGTTTCTTCAAAAGTCAAGATCTTCCTGTCGTCCCTCATCATCTCTAAAACATTTTTGGGGCTGAGAAGTAAGTTCTGCAGAAACACACAAGAACAGGCAGGTAAGCATCATCTTACTTGCAAAGTTCTTGTGGAGTTGTAGAAATGAAGACTGGGATTGAGTTTGAGCATATTCAAATAATTTTCTCCCCGGCTATCTCTGCATGTGACTTGGAGATTTCCAATCCTTTATTTGAAGGCAGTGGCTTTTAAAGATCAGTAGAAGGATGCTAATATATTATGAGTCTACCTTTGACCTGCCCCAGCCAAATCAATTCCATTTAGTTTCTCTCCTCCAATCAATTTAGAAGAGGGGGATCAGAGACAGATTATTATAAGCCCTATAACTATTAGCAGGACCATCACAGGAAAGAGATTATATAAAAATGACTTTACATAATGATTACAGATAACACTACACAGTATACCAGTGAATGTAATCATATTTGGCAATAGCAACAGTAATGCAGCCATTATGTCTGAGATTAGTTTCCTAGAAATTTGTGAGAGCCTGTGCTTTAAATTTATTTCACTATTAAAGGATAAGGATGTAAAAACCTGCTGAACTTCCAGGCCCAGTAATTTCTCACTAGTGGTCGATCAGCATTGTTCCCCCATTTGGACAGTCTCTAAACAACAACTGAGAATAAATATGAAAACTACAGATGTTTTGCTAAAATAATCTCTTTTTCTTCATTTCAGTTCTTTAGAAGCAAGGAAGCAGAATCTGTATTATTAGTCATTACACCAGCATTACCTGCCTTCCTATCTAAGTGTTCATTCCACACTTACCCCTCTGATTTTTTTTAGGGTATTATCAAGCACCAGTGAAATCTAATCCTTATTAAAAAAAAAGTTTTCCACATAGGCCCTACAATATATTACATTTTGTAAAGAATCTAGGCTACTATTCAGAGAAAAAGCTTTATTATGCCTAGAATTTTGAGATTTTGTTTTTTCAAGGGTTCATAGGTATTTTACTGTCCTTTCATGCCAATGCAGCTACAAATTTTCCCTGTACTTCCTCACTTCAAACCATTTATTCTTCTGCCTAGTTCTTGCAGTTGGAATATCTTCTTTACTTTCCTTTATTTTATGAGGAGCTCTATGGGATTAAGCAATAGGATTCACCAAAGCAGACTCAGGCCCACCCTGCCCTTATACTAGAGATAGGAATTTGATTTAGCCTCACAGATCTAATTTTTTTAGAAGAGCAAAAAGAAACTCCTTTCTTTAGAAAACAGGTGAGTAAGAATAATACCATGGGGTCTTCTTTGTATCTCAAAGATCGGTACAAAAAAAGGACACAACCCCTGTTTTGTTCTTCATGTTGGAGTTTGCCTTTAATTTGTAGCATTTAGTCTCAAAGCTGGAGACACTAGAGCCACAGGAACAGTAGCTGAATGGTTGCAAGGGCTGATTCACATTTAGGACCACAAATCTCTCTCATGGGAGCTTGCCATACACAATCCCTACAGCTGAAGGTGTATTTTTACATTTTGCTTGCTGGCTTGTTCTGTAACTGACAGATTGGGGACAGCTCAGAGTAGCAAAGTGACAGAGATACAGATGACTGGACTCCTGTGGATCTCACAGGGATATGCCTCCCTTTAAAGAACTGTAAATGCTTCTAATCATTGCCCAACCGCATTAAGTCCACTTTAGATAAAGGTTTGATACAGATTTGAAAAATGAAATTATTTGGGGGCCATAGGGAACAAAGCAAGCAATCTTCAAACATCAGAAAACCTGTGGGATTCACTTTGCAGTAATATGATAGATGGCTTGACTAGACATGCAGTTTCCTATTTTCTACTTTCATTTTTCAGACCAGATTGCACTAAACCACAAAACCATCGTGTGTCCTATGATCGATGTCATTGACCACAATCACTTTGGCTACGAGGCACAGGCGGGGGATGCCATGCGAGGAGCTTTTGACTGGGAAATGTACTACAAAAGAATACCGATTCCTCCAGAGCTCCAGAGAGCTGATCCCAGCGACCCCTTTGAGTAAGTAGCAATAAAGGGGAGAGTGGAACATGAAGCAGAACAAGCAAAGAAGGTAACTGTAGCAGAAGAATCCAAGCCCAGAAATTTCCATGTAGGCCACTTCATACTAATGAAAGGTAGTAGAAACAAACTGCTTCTATACAGATTGATAAAACCTCAAAACCAGGAAAAAGATCAGGGCAACAAGTTGCAGAATTCACAAGTTGTGCCTGGAAACACAAACCTTCCCCATCTTTTCTGGCCCAGTGGTTCTACATAAAAGAAACAGGCACATACTTGTAGTTAAGAGAAAGTATTGACATTGGACAAGGAGTGAATGTGACTACAGTTATTCTGTTTATTCCACAGAGCACTTCCTGAACAGATTTCAGTTTAATGTTTTCTTTGCTGGAGATTGATGCAATACATGCATCAATAGCCAAGCCCACATTCTGCCAGCAGATGCTTTGTTTATGACTGGTGATATTGCTACTGTATATGTATTGCTGTAACTTAAACACAGGGCTGTCAAACCTGAACAGTGTCAAGCTGATTTGTAAATATTTTTTTATAAGCTAGCCTCCAATCCCAGTGTTGTATAGATCAGCTCATCACAGGAATGATCTTTTACTTTCCACAAAGATAGAGCTTCCTTTTTCCGTCTTCCTTTTTCCATCTTTCTTCTTCCTTCTCTCATGTAAGGATCAGCTAGGCTTAATCCGCATCAGCAGAGAGCTGACAGACAGACAGACATGGTTCAATGTGGCAAAGTCTCCAGGTCCCTCGCACAGCACACATCCTAGCAGGGCTGGCAGCAGGACTGGCTCTGATACTGTCAGTAGCCCTGGCTGAAACTCCATGCTGCAGGTTTAGGCAGTTTAAAAACTCAGCATTTTCCCCACCCCAAAACAAAACCTGGAAACAATAGCAACAGAAAACCTGTGTCTCTGGCCTAGACTCTGTGCTATTTTGAAGTAATGGATCTGATTAATGCAGAAATTGACCCTTATATCCAAGGAATGACCAGCTCTGTATAGGGAGAAGTAGGATTCGGTGGGCTTATTTTCATTATTCTGCTTGTTCCTTTTTACTTACCTCCATCGAGGCCCATCAGTCTTCATCTTGCATTGGTGCAAGTGCTGATGAAGTACGTTCCATCAGCTGCCAGTGTGACCACTCCACAACATAGATGCAGCTATTGCAATCACATAACACTCCGGAGTTCCTAGAGCCTCCGTTGCTCTTCCACAAGTCTTCCTGGTCCTCTAAGCAGATGTAATTTCTTGCCACTTACTGAAAGTTACCTAGCACATCATATAATTTGATTCAGCATTCAAAGTTTGTGTATAAGTAAAACTTCTATATTGCCAGCGTAGCTACAGGGTTGCTTACCAGCCATTTCACACATTCACAGTTCGTAGTATGCATCTCTCAAAGACAAGAGGCCTGAAGAGGGGGCACTCATAGGAAACTTTCTAGAAGAGATGAGACTTCGTGCAATACAGAACAGATGTGATTTTGCACGAACTGTTACAATCAGCATGGCAGCCGTTGATACCCACCTTGCCCTGCCTGCATTCATAAGACACAGATAAATGGCTTCACAAGAAACAACATATAGGACAATGCAACCTATAAATCTCTTGTCTTCTGAGTAGTCATCTCCCAAAAAGGTGGAAAGGCTGCCCAGTTCTTACACAGAACAGTGAGAGTCTTCCTTCCCATCACAGGATCCACATCAGAGCGATTGAAGGCTGGCTGAGCTAGGACAGTATCTTTGCTCAAAAGTACCCTCTGCCTAGAATGGTGAGGGTATAGAAGTGCTTTAAATAATCAGTATGAATTTTGCTTAGGGGAGGAATTCTTTTCGAATTCAAAGCCAGTACTGCTTTTCTCCTAGGGCCTTCTCTGTTGGCACCTTGAGCTTTTAACACCTTGCTTACAATGAGTACGGTAAACGTTATGGACCAATTTAGGTATTGGTAACTTCATTGACCAAGACAGCTTCTACAGAATTAAAGAGACAGAACAGTTTTCCTTTAGGTGCATATACACTAAAACTAGAAATGGCTTCAGCTAGCACAGTGATTATTATGTTACTATTTTGTAAGCAGTAGGGATTTTTTTTTTTATTTAGGTTAAATATTTTACTATTGGTGTCCTAATAGCTTTATTTCTTGCCAGCAGCATCAGATCTGAGCTGATCCTTAATGAACTGGAAAATTGCTAGCATTTTTAGTAAAACACCAGTGAATAATGGGTACGTGATCCAAAAATTGTGCTGATGAGTTTTTTCCCTCACTTAAAATGCCAACTCAGTATGTGTGTTAAGCAGAAAAGGTTGCATCAGCCTAGAAATAATGTACATAAAACCAGATCAAGCTACAGAAGACCTAAGAGCAGTCATTGTATTATCTGAATGATATGTTTGCTTTCCATCTTGCACATGATCAAAATACTGCTGCAGCAGACATCAGCAGAGTGTTTGCTGTTGCCACAACAAACTGAAGTGTTGTCAGGTAGGCTCTTGGTGTGACAGTAGCATGGAGCTTACTGAGCTCCAATGCCAGCTGAGCTAGTCTATCTGGAATTAATTTTTCCCCCCTTTTTTTTTTTTTTTTAAGCTGTACTCCACTATGGTCGGTGTTTGACAGGTACTCTCCTGTTGAATGCAATCTATCTGGACACAGCCTTTCAGTTCAAAATCCCTCTTGTGAAGAATGTAGACATTCTCATCCATTTGTGGTGTGAGCATGAGCATGGTTTATTGTCCATACACCCATGGTGCCACTCAGGCAGTATCTCCACCCGTCACTGTGACACAACTTGGAGCTTCATTCCAAATCTCAGCTTTTCCTGATGTACACCTACACCCATTCTCAGGCCTTCTGCAGTTGTTAGCTACAAGTAGCTTTACACCAAGATTTGGTTTGATGTCTATGACTATAGGACTGTATAACACTCTCAGAAGCTCCCAGCCTGCCCAGTGTCAAATTCAGGTACAGATGATGTACTAGCACCAACCTGGGAGTCACATGACAAATTTATAACTGCATTTGGATCAGGTTGCATTCATCTACAAAATACATCGTTTTGGTTCACATGTAGTTTTCACTGGCCATACCAAGTTTCCCATAGGTTTCACTGAACCAAACTGTAGCCATATAAAAGGAATTTTCAACCAAAGCTCCTATGCAAATTATTTGATATTGCTCTATGCTCATTGTAGTGTTTAGGAAATCCTAACAACTATGCTATAAATGGATCTCATGTAGCCTTTAAGATTAGCTATTTTTCTGAAAGATGTGTGTTGCTGGTTTTCAGGACACAGTGAATCCTTAGAGGTATGGAAATCAGACTTCAGCCCTAATAATGTTGCCTTCCCATCCAGAGACTATATCTGTGAACTCCTTGTTTATTTCCCTTTCTCATGTGCCACAGAAACAAGAGAATTTTTATATTGCATTCAACTGATCTGTCACACTTGCAGCTCATCACAGTTGCCTGTAGTGATTTTTCTCTTGCAATTCATGTACAACTACCCCAGTATATTCCAGAGGGGGCTGTTTTCCTCTGATGCATTCAGGGTTGTGTAAATGACATAGAGCAAATTGGTGTTCTGATCTGTTGTAGGAAATTGTCAGACAATCATGAAATTGTCATCATGTCATGTTGGTGCTCACTGTCTTGATCCCAGGGTCAACGATCATTCAGCAGAATTTGAGATGACTTGGGAAATTTTCTTCTAGTCCATAAGCAGGGAGGACCAGAGATGTTTACATTCTTTGTGGGAAGGTTCACCTTGGCTTATTATCTCTCGCTGGTTTGTTTCTCTGTCATGGCAGAGGTTTGGGAGCATGCCCTTATGGGACATACGGGTTTGGGACATTAAGAGCATGCTCCTGTGTGACTGTTTCTTTCTGTGGTGCAAGCACTCTAGTCTCTGGAGTTTTCCTAACCCAGGCAATTGCCACTTAAACTAAGAGGGTAACATTGTTACTATAATGGACTGCGATATACAGCCTGTCAGTTTGTATGATTTAATAGCCTGCCTGGGCTAAAAGCTCTGTGGAAGTTTAAAGCAGAGGTTTGATATGCTCAAGCCTGCTGGGGATGACTGCTCTTTATTTCCTGGCAGCACTTACATTATATCAATTCACGTTATCACATGCCCTACCTGAAAACGGGCATCGGTGTCCATTCACGACAAGAAAACATCAACAACTCAATTCAAAAAACTATTTGGAAAAAACACAAACTAATTGAGAGGATTAATATGGCACAGATCCACTAGGGTAGGAAAGGGCTGCACAAGTCCTCGGAGCAGTTTTATGGTGGTGTAACTTTATGATACAGAGGGAGGGAAAGGTGCAGGTGAGACCTAACAGCACTGCTATTGAATTGCAACTCAAGATGGAAATCCTAACCAACGAGAGAAGTGTTGTGCTACTTACTGGATGCCAAGACTTCTACACCTATCTGGGAAAGGTAGTAGTTTTTTGGTATATGACCACTCCTTACTCTCCAAGAGTTCCTTGTTTGCCTTCTGATGTAGAGCTGTCATCTCCAGAACTCCCTGAAGGGTGACAAAGCTGAAGAATCATGTTATTCTAGCAAAGGACCAGAATGATAGTTTGGCAAATACTGGGCTAGCCAAGGAAGTAGAAGCAATTTTGTAACCTCTGACAAGGCATTTTAGTTCCTGTACTCAGCTTCCTATTTATAAAATAGAAATAGAATCACTTCACCATTGCAAGGCTGCTTTGGGTATGAGTCTAGTAAAGGTTATAGGATTGAGGTCTCACAGTAATAGGGGCCACTTACAGTTTATGGATGTACTGTTTGGTAAAATTTTGGACATGCTGAAGGGTTGGAATTAGGTGATAAGTACATTTTTCTCTTCCCTTGCATCACAGACTCTCAACCTTGGATGTAGTATATGACCTTAATATAGCCAGTTGTATGTTAGATTGGAAGATTACTTGGCACTTTCTGTTTAATTGCATATCTAAAACCATATT